AAAGTGGCAGCATCAGTGGGCTCAAACGTGGCAACAATAGTGAGGTTGGCCCAGGATTGGGTAGTGTTTCTTTCTGTTGTGCATAGGGTGATGGAAACTGATGTTTGTGTGTCCCATTAGTGTTTTGGACTGTTTGTTTCCATGTGTCTTTGATTTTCTTCTTTGTTCTGGGTGAGGAGAAAGCAATAATTGCACATTAGGTGGCCACTCACAAGCTTTTAATCCCAGTTGCCACTTATCAAAGTAGAGTGAAGAGTATTGTGTTTGTAGTTTCTGTGTTATGTTGGCTGACCTTGGTGTCCCTCAAAACTATTATCCTCAGCCCTCAGACCCAGTGATTCATTTCTTCAAGATGTTTAATTTTAGCTAAGAAGGCTTTATAATTTTGGCCTTATGGGCTCCACTGTATTCCTGGATGTATTTGCAGCACATGTGTAGAGATATCCTCTCTCAAATTTACATATGACGGGACTTTAAAAGTTAGTGGAAAAATGGAATTGAAAGATAATGGAATTTTTCCATGAACTTTTGGAAACCCCCTCATATATTTGTGGGTGTACTATCATTTATCTTTCCACTCACCTTCACGTGCTTTTAAATGTCACTGCAACTCATTCTATTTTGATAGTGTGATTGGTTTCTTATATTAGAAAATATACTGTTGATATTTTAAATATTAAAAAAAGGTAATATTTATATATGCATATACTAACCACATGAAACATTTTTGGTAACTACTTCCCAAAGAAATAAAATATCAGAAAGAGGTTTTCAGACTATTGCTTTTTAAAAAGAACAGTATTTTATTGTGCAAAGGCTTGTTGCTGTTGTTCAGTGCCATTGAGTTGGTTCCAACTCATAGTGACCCTGTATAGGATTTCCAAGGAATGCCTGGTGAGTTTTAACCACTGACCTTGTGGTTCAAAGCGATGTTGCAGTCCACTGCAGAGCCTAAGAGTAGTTAAAAATAAATGTTTTTTGTTTTGTTTTTTAAACTATTTACAACTTTAGCAAGAAAGATCACTTCAATTTTCTTTTTCTTTTTAGAAAAATACTGTGTAAAAGACAGAGTGTTTTTTAAAGGGTAGAGAATTTTGAAACAAATAATAACTTTGCAGATGGAGAAGACAATTTTTGGAAGATCAGCTACTTCCAGTGATAAAGCAGAGCAGTATATTAATGGGAGATGCCTTGGATCTGTCCATTATCATCCTGTTGGTGCCACACTCTCAATGGCATTGTGTTTGTCATGCACAAAAATATGTATCTGCTACGTAAAGTTCTAGTCATCTTTTAAAGCATAGAATAAATGCTATTGTTCCAATGAATTACCTCTAGTGCTCTGTGCCCTAAGATAATAAATTTAGTTTATCTTTAAGTTTTAAAAACTGGAAGGAAGAGTACAAATCACGTGCAATCTAAACTAGAAATTTAAATAGGAAACTAGGCACAGATATAGAAGAAACTTAAAAATATAGAACATTTCCCCACTGTCCTGTTCCTTTGATCTGTGTGGTTGTTCTTAACACCAGTATCCCATAGTCTCAGTTACTGTAGCTTTGTAATAGTCTTAAAGTCAAGTAATGTAGTTGTAACTCTTCCAACTTTCCTATTGGTTGTCAAAATTTGTTATATAAGCTGTAGAGTCAAGCTTGACAGTTTCTATAGAAATTCTTGTTAGACTTTTGATTGCATTGAATTTGCATGAGAATTGTCATCTTGATATAAAGTTTTCCTATGCATGCACATCTAAGTCCTTTCAGTTTTTTTCTCAGTAATATTTTGTATTGTTAAATACGAAGGTGTTGCACATATTTTGATAGTTAAATCCTTAAGTATTTAATGCTTTTTGAATATCATAAATGTTATTATTTTTCAGTTTTGTTTGCCAGTTTTCCAGTTTCTCCTAAGATATTGCTTCGAAATGAACGTAGTTCTAGTAGACTTTTATAAAATCGCCTTATTGAGATGTGAAGTCAGAGGAAGAGAGATATAAAATGAAAGTAATGCGGTCTTCTACCAATGAGTTGGAAAAATTGGTGTAATTGGGAGCGATCTTAAGAGAAGATCATGATCAGAGCTTTGGATACTTCTGTCTTGATGGCCAGAGTATCATCAGTTCCTTTTGCAGTGCTTGGCCAGAGTCAGTGCTCAATAAGTATTTATTGAATCACAAAATTGGGAAAGGTGTGCGACAGGGTTGTGTTCTTTCACCATACTTGTTTAATTTGTATGCTGAGCAAATAATACAAGAAGCTGGGTTCTATGTAGAAAAACGTGGCGTCAGGATTGGTGGAAGACTCATTAACAACCTGCGATATGCAGATGATACAGCCTTGCTTGCTGAAAGTGAAGAGGACTTGAAACATATACTTATGAAGATCACAGAGCACAGCCTTCGATATGGATTACATCTCAATATTAAGAAAACAAAAATCTTCACCACTGGACCAATAAACAGCATTCTTATCAATGGAGAAGAGATTGAAGTTGTCAAGGACTTCATTCTTCTTGGATCAACTGTCAACACTCGCAGAAGCAGTGGTCAAGAGATGAGACGACGTATTGAATTGGGCAAATCTGCTGCATGGGAACTTTTTAAAGTACTGAAGAGCAGAGATGTCAGCTTGAGGACTAAGGTGTGCTTGACCCAAGCCATGGTATTTTCAATAACCTCATATGGATGCGAAAGCTGGACAGTGAATAAGGAAGA